AGTCCCCCAGTCATGACAGTAGACATGATGTGCTCAGTGTACAGTGTCAGTACTCCCTCCTTAGCACGGCTCATACTGTACTGGATAGCAGCAGATCCCTGTTAGCATACAGCTTTCTTACCCTCTGACTGCATGTCCATCATTGCTAGTTTAATGAGCCTTTGTATAAATAATTTAAATAAATAAATTAAGGGCCTTCGTGTCACATCCTGCCCGCTATGTTCACGAGATTCTCCTATTTCCTCCCTATCATAATCCTAACAAGCCACACCTGTTACTCATTTATCTTACCTCTCATTCCTAACCCTCATGTTAATCACTCCCAGCTGCCTCTTGTTAGCTCTCTCATTAGTCTAGTATATACATGCTTCCCAGTCCTAGGTTCCCCTGTCCAGTCATTGACGTTGAACCCTCATGGTGTCCTTCCTAATTTCCAGTCCTCCAGTTTTGATTGCTTGTGGCCAAGTTTTTTTCCAGACTCTGTTCATTTAAGTTCATTATATACCCCGTTAGTTTTATAACATCTGCCCTAGAGTCCTTCGTCCCTCGTAACATGACACTTCATATAAATATAAATGTAATTATTACTTTTTTTCTTCTATTAAGACTTTTTTTTTTACTTTTTTATTCGTATTAAATAAGAATGTTCTTGCATATAAACAAACTAAAAATCCAGTCGATGGTCCTCAAGAATCCAGTTTATTGGTCTTATTGATGTTGGTGAGATTTCAAGCTGATCTGATGAAACTCATCTACTGTGTGGCAGCTAATTAACCCAAACATAGTGGCAGAGAGAAAGACAGATCATTTTTAATTCCCCGAAAAACTTAACAAACACATGGCAGCAATTCAGACTGGGGGGTGAAAATGCTTTTATATGAATATGCAGAAAAAGTAATAAAGAGGGCACAGAGCCAATACTCCGGCATGTAGAAAGGCAGTGTTAACAGGTATGTATGTTATGTGAATTAGATGCCTAAATACATACATGCATAAACGGAATTAAAAATGAGAGGTGAAACAGGTTTGATGACAGAAAACCACGACAGTGGAGCGTTGGTATGAGGCGTGAACGTGTAAGACACTGGTGATCCATCTGCAAAGAGGCACGCACATTCTGAACAAGGAGTAACAACACTGCTGGTGTTTAGTAAAAAAAACGGAAGCATCTGTTTGAAAGACAAATTCGACCATTGCCCTCTGGTCATTAAGATCAGTGTCTAATTGCTGTGATTGCAGTGAAAGTTCTGTAATCATCCAGTTTATGTTGATCATTAAGGTTGGTTTGTTATTGTGCTATTGTGACTTTCACTCTAGTCAGGATAATTAACGCCTGGCCTGTGTTCAGGTCACAGGAAAAACCAGAGTCCTCACCTCGCCTCCATGACCAAAGGCCTCGCAAAGGCCACGGACCATGCCCTGCGTTCATAAATTAGACTAGCACGAGTTGAATAAGGCACTGAAGAAAAGCTTAACCGAAACAAAAAATTACAGTGGCCACATGAATCATAGTTCGTTTGGGATTAGTGTTAGCAACATCATATTGATCTGAAAAGTCCTGGGTGATAAAAACCAGCGCTTTGACTTCAATTTCAGGTACTCTCAGGAAATGCACATGGTCCAGCTTTACTGTTTGGTACCAAACCCCTGAAAACATCTTATTCCCATCTATGATTTCTCACGATGCATAAGAGGATGCCGTTACGGCTGCTAATTGGGGCTTGGCGATTCACAGTGATGCTGAGATTCTGTGTCTCGTTAGCAATGAAACGTGTAATACAACAGATGACACCCTCAAACATTATCCCACCTTTAGCCCAGCCATCTCACACTTACAAATGCCAAAAGGAATATTAATTCTGAAAAATACAATTTCAACCATCAGTTGCTTGAAATAACACAGAAAATGACATAAACAAACAAACCCAGCTGAAACATACTTGTTTTTTTCTTCTTGCTAAATGCAAAGAGCAGACAAAATGTTTAATTCAGACAAAATGTTATGAAAGCTATCCAGTACTGTTTTGCTATCTCTTAACTTAGTCTTTGGGGATTCTCAGTAAAAATCTATAGGCACTTTCACACCAAAGTTCCAAATTATCTGAGTCAATATATGAGGAAAATCAGAATGTGTGACAGGGGGGCCTGGGTGTTGGTGGGCATCTGGCCAAAATCACGGCATACTGGCTGCAACTCAGCGAGCACAGGGCAAAGGGTACTAGTCAGGATGCATCAGCGGCGAGCAGACATTCAGCTGAAATGTGTCCTAAAAGTAGGCCATGATCCCCGTCACTGTGTCCATTCAGATACGATGACAAAACATACACTGTAACATTAACTAAAACGTATACCAAGTGTTATTTTTGGAATGCAGCTGTGTTGATTTAGTTTAGTGTAAAGTTGTTGGATTAAGTTAGATGACAAAGAAATTTAACTGCTTTTTAAGATGGGTCCTAATTCTCTTAGCTTAGCAGTTAAATGAAAATACAGGGTATATCATCCTTCCATCTATCCAGCTTTCGATCACTTATGTAGTACGGAGTCACACAGAGGGCCTGGGATCAGGCAGCAGAGGGTACAAAGCAAGGATAAGTCCTGGAAGATGTTATGAAGGGTATCCAGTACTGTTTTGCTATCTCTTAACTTGGTCTTTGGGGCGTCTCAGTAAAAATCTATAGGCACTTTCACACCTGGTTTCTGGTTCCAAGTTCCTGGGCTATGTTGTCCTTTGTAGCTCCTGGCTGCGTTCATCTGTCATTTTCTCACCACACAACAGGAACTGTGACCTTAATGGTAAATAAGCATGGGAGATGCAAAAAGCTTGTAGGTTAAAATTCACGGATAATTTCATATGAAACCAACGCCAAGGCCAAAACATTACAGGATAAATGAGTTGTTTTGTTAGTTATTTGTTAGTTATTGGGGGGATCAATCACGAACAAAACAGGACACATCCTTTTATTTATATTCTGGTGCCAGGCAGACTGAGGCATCACGGCAGCAGCTAATAAACATGAGGATGGATTTACACAAAACTGCTCTTTACGATAATCCTTATAAGGACTGCACAATAAGCAACAACAACAGAGACAATCAATGGCAGGGAAACGCGGGGAGGTAGACAGGAAGGCTCACACACGGTAGGTCATTATGCAACATTAAAGCACGTCAGGATTACACATACAACACAGGTAAGGGTACACACGATACTCAGGAGCACAACAGGTGTTTACACTAAACATAGACATTTACTTCTAACGAGACATACACAGGGGCTATATACAGTACACGGCTTGCGGGCATGCTGGGATACGCTAATCCCACCAGCACTACAATATTTATACGACCCACAACATTTTTATAACTCATTATTAAAATTGGCCAGTGGATTCAATTAATGTTTAGTTTTCCACATAATGAAGAACGATGTAAAGAACGTTATTCCACTAGTAAGTACTGACAAGTTTCACCCCTGGCACCAGTAATATTAGACGGAAGTATATTGGTTTTCGATCTAATTTTCCAAAGCAGAAATACGGAAACACAAGCAAAAAGATATTCATTGATGAAAATCTTTGCTACTTTTATGTCTTTTCCAAGTACTTCCACGTAACTTCCAAGTTAGCACTAGTGCTTGTGGCCAACCAATCAACAAGTTATCACCGTAAGACCCTCTCCAGTAGTTTAGGTTGGAATGAAAAGTAACTAGTCTAGAGAAGGGACTAGAAATGAATTCCAGAACTGCCTCAAAGGAAATACAATTGAGCCGAGTTCCTGTAGTGTGAACACAATAAAAATTCCTGGGTCCTGAAATTAGGTTCTGGTTCCTGAAAAAAAGTCTTGCAGTGTGAAAGCACCACATACACTTGCTGAGCAGGCCCTGAGCATGGCTGGGACCTCAGTGTGCCTAATCATGCGACCAGCAGAAAGCCTTCATCTGGAGAAGCCACAAGAGGCTAATTTGAGCCAGCAGCCGCATCGAGGCAGAGAACAAGTGGCCATGTTTTTTGTCAGTGTCTTGTTAAACATGCCTCAGCACATTCCTGACTGGACAGAGCACCCATTTAATGGGGTCTGACAGCTGAGTGCCCCTGGCTCTGCCCCGTGTGCCGCCCTACATCGGTGACGCTAATCACTGAACGCTTACTGTTCACTGAGTACATGTGTGAGTGGGGGGCTGCTCCGTGTCTATGCCTGTTTGTGAGTACGTGAAACCCAGTAATTTAATTTATCCCTTGTAAGGCTGGTGTGGTGAACAACCTCACTTTGTAGAGGTTTGTTTTCTTTTACCCATCAGCATCAGATGCCCAACTCTGTGCCCAGTTGCAGCCCTCTCCTGATCTGGTGCCTGATGTGTACCCTGTGTTCTCATGCTGGCACCAAAATGGCCGACTTCTTTTTTCTGTTCTTCTACTTTTCGTTCCTGACACGTCCCATGATGTCCCATGCAATATGCTAATACCCACAATCATGTAATCATAAGAATGGAACCACCTTGACAGGGGTGGAATTTAAGAGTTTTTGCTACTAGCCAACTGGGCTTGCTCAGCAAATAATCCAGTTTGACATGCAGCTTCTTTACTAGCCAGTGGGCTAGTGTTCAGTGATTTGTATTCGCCAATCCAGTCTTTAGGGACCCACAGACAGTCCACGTTTTTGTTCCCTCCCAGCTCCAGGTAAAAAATGTGGACTGTCTGACAGAGCTCAGAGGGAGCAAAAACGTGGACCGGCTGTGAGTGAGCAAGGACTGGTTTGGGTAAGATCATTGTTCCTACATGAGGGCCCCATGTTTTGTTAAAGCACAGTATGTGTCTTCAGATGGATTTGTCATTAACATTTAAATGCTGAGCGTTTTTTTACCTCCCTTCACCATGTGTTGTTTTCTTTAAGCACTCTGGAATGTTCCGCATCTCGTGCCGAATTGCTTCCCTCCCTCTAAGGCATCATGAACTGAATTCTCCTATAACAGATTTAATTTCTTGCTTGTGTATCCTTGACAGGTTTCAGCCACTGTCTGGAGTTATGGGCTGTGGCATTGACTGATTTCTGAAACACTAATATTAATTAGCTTAACTACAAACCATCTGAACAGCTCAGACCTTCCACTGAGCCATTGTGAGGCCTGCAGCAACGATTGGCTGATGCCACAGAGCCACATAAAAGGGTAAACAATCCTTGACTTGGCAGCAAGCAATTAGAGAGACGGTTTTCATGGTGGCTTGTTTTCAATGCGTGGATTTTTGGGAAACAGCAATGCTGTCTCACCCCCCCAGTGTCCGTCTCTCTCTCTTTCATTTAGGTATAGCAGACACCCATGGTCTGCCAGTATTTGGCCCAATATTAAATCCATAGCATGATAAGATCCTGAGCTACAGTGCACCGCAGGGTGTTTATATTGTATCATTTAATTACAAATAAACTCAGTGCTACAGTTTCAGAGTGGCCCATCAGAGGCTCTCTGAGGGTTATTACATGGATCTTTAGTGACTTCATAATGAAGACAAGCAGAATCAGCCAGACTAGTGACCCCATTTCAGTTTGAAGGTAAGGCTGACGCAGCACGGTGAGAGATCTAGAATAGGTCAGATGTTTTTCTTGTTCCTTCTTTCTGCACCAGCTGAATCAACACTAAAAGCTGTGGACCAAGCCCCTCGGAAGGTTCCGGAAGCATAACGGAGGAACTAAGGGGATGCCGGCAGGGGTGAAGAGGGCAGCCCCACATTCCCCGCCAGCTTAACAGGGCTGCCCAGCAGGAGAGAGGTATGTCTTTGTCCTGCAGGCCAGCCTGGGGCAGTAAGAAGGTGATGCTGTATGAGATGTATGTGCCTCTGTCTGTCTCTGATTGTATGTCTTTTTTCCCCCTCTCCCTGTTCCTGCTTCAACACCTGAAAGCTCGTTTTCTTTCATCTTGCGGCCAGTCGTTGGGGGTCGCTGGGGGTCCGGCCTCCTCAGTATGCCTGCAGCACAGCCCGAGATCTGGTTCCTTTGGGGAATACATGCAAACATCTGGGCTGGTGAGTGTGCAGGAGAGCCACAGAAAAGTAAAACTCCTGGATCTGCTGCGCACATTTCCTGTGTTCGAGGTTCAGCTTTTCCTCTCTCTCTTTCTGCCTTCCCCCATCTCCTTCCCTCCCTCCCCGTCCCCCACTTCTTTGTGGCTCTCTCTTCTTTGTAATGGTCTGGCAATCAGACAATCCCTAACAGTCACCCAGACCCCATTTCCTTTTGTTTCAGTAGCGTTGCGTTCTCCTTGGCTTTTTCTTTGTTTTGCTTTGTTGTGCCAAAGCAGCCCACTCCCCCACCCGAGGAGGTGCTGGACTGTAAACAGTGACCGTGCAGTCTTGGGGGGTGGGGGCAGGCGGCCGTGCTGAAGGGGATTCCTCCTACGCGAGAGTGGGCAGGAGTGGGTGACAGGAGGCCGCAAGTACAGCACCAGGAGCAGGTATGTGATCTGAGTCCCCTCACTCTCTCCCAGCTCTCTGCTCCTGCCAGCTAAACTTTCAGCAAAAACCTGTCCAGGACCTTAGGATGGTGAGGGGGTGACTGCTGAGCATTTAAATAAAGAGCAAAGATAAGTATTTGTATCCTGTCTGTCTCTTTCACTTCTTTCCTTCCATACTTATTGCAGTGTGGTTCTCAAAACAGTAGAGATGCATCTACAGCTGCCTCTGAAAAGGTGTCTGTTGTTTCTTCAGGACATTGTGGCATATTAATGTCCTGTTTCTGCAGCATTCAGAAGAACAAGCTTGAATTTTGATTAATTGTGAGCGAGAGGAAGCCTGGAATCTAGATCAGCTAGATGTTTGTTTCAGAGCAGGAAGGCCGAACTACTAAACGTGGGCAATACAGACAGTGGTCAGAGCTGCAAGATCATCACCCCACATCATGCTTGGTGAAAGGTGGACATCTTCCCTTGCCTTTCCACGAATGTGCTGCACTATTTCTGTCATTTATTAGGGATGATGCCTTTGGCGTGATGAAGAATGCAGATGAGCACTACAAAATAGACTTCAGCTGGTAACATGGGAATACAAGGAGTTTTTGACGATATGGAATAGTTGGGGGGGGTCATTTCCTTTAACCTAGACTGACCCATAATTACCAAAAATCAATGTGCGCTTTTGACACAAACTGAATACCAGCTCTATGTTTGCAATTCCATGAAACACCGATCTTGGTATTTTGATGCAGATTTATGTTGGTCTATATTTCTCCTCTGCTCAGTGTCTCTGACACCTGAAAGACAGAATGTATGTCCTCAGGGGAGGATGTGACAGAACCGTAACAGGAAACATCCTCCTATCATTGCCAACACCCCCCTGAGGTCATCCAGTTTAACCCTTTACTTCCTGCAAAAAAAAACCCGTGTAAAGAAATTAAAGAACAGGAATTTGGAACAGGAAAATTAAACAGGATTTATATATTTTTTGTAATTTATTGCACATTAAGTAATATGCAATAAATGATATTTAAAAATACTTGCAGATTGTGTGTAGTACCTCCTGCTGTTTCTTGTAATAAGAATTAAATATTATCAGATGTATTATTTTTTCTTATTTGCCTCTTTTCTGATTATGCAGCCGTTAAACTACATTCGTCAGAAATCCTAAGGAAAGACTGAACACATCCATAGCCCACATCATCCCCCAAAGGAATCTTAATCCCACGACTGACCTTCTAAGCTTCATCAGTCCCGGCACCTTTCATACCGAACGTCTACCTTCAGAGCCAGGATGGAGATGTTCCTGCTCTGGAGAGGATTCTCATCCCTGCTTGGTCTCTTTCCACTCTGCTGGGCACAGAGTCTTGTCCAGCTGAATGTAGGACTGCAGGTTGGTCGTGGGCAGTTTGTTTACGTGACCGGCGAGGATCTACGGTTTGATGTCCAATATAACGTGACATCCTGCAAGGTGGAGGTGGTGATGAACGAGCCCGTGACGCAAAGAGTGGGCGTGTTCACTCCCCAGGTAGGTAGGAGAACCACGAGGGTCCATCAGATCAGACCAAAGGGTTAGGGGCGTAGGGGGGACAGGGATACCCTGACACATTCAGGGGGCCAGCTCTGTACAGGGGCCCTTGAATACATAAATGTATAAAATTATATAATGTAAGAGAGAGCCCAAGGTGACATTTTCTCACTGTGCACAGAATGTCTCGCTACTTCCCTGCAAAGGACAAATCAGTTTTTTGAGTATTTCAGGTGCACTGCAAGGTATCACAGACTGAGCTCTGTTCTTGATTCACGATACCAGAAATATATTGGTGTGTTTCTTAGGTTTTCGACTGCCACTTCTTGCCAGATGAAGTTAAATACACCCATAATGGCAGCCCATTGCTGCAGGAGGACACGGTCATGCTGAGAATCTATAGGTGGGTCATGGGTCCCGTGCTTCACCTCTATCACTGTCAAAAGACTTTGCAGCTTTGTCCATACAAAACTGGAATTAAATTAAGAAAGTCATGCTTCTTTAATATATTTGTTTAATTTCAAAGTATGCAGAAATGTGAATATTTCAGACCTTTTTACCAAGAATGCATGACTTCTTCTGGGTAATGTTTACATCTGTCAATGTCTATGGATACCAGTTTTTTTTATTTTTGCCCAAGGTTTACCGATTCCGAGACTTTCATAGAACCTGTGTCAGTGAGGGTCAGGGTTGTTGAGCCCCACAACAGTCTTATCAAGTTTGGGAGCGTGCCTGTGGAGGTTCAGAAGTTCTACGGCCTGTCCAACACCTTGGACAGCAGAGTTCTAACATTCCAGAACAGACCGGGATATATTTGTAATGTCAGACTCCTCACTTCTGAAACTAACATGCCAGCACTTGGGCAACTGGTCACAGATGATTCCGTCAGCACAGTCCCAACGACAGATATGGAGCAGACACCTACATCCAACACAGGGCCCAGAAGAGGTAAGTTGGGTTTTTTGAGGCCAAATATACTGAGACAAATTAAACAGCAGTCTCTAAGTTTTACATGCGAACTGCATAAACACGAAGCTGGAGTCTGGAATCAAGGCCACAGTGTCAGAGCTGTTAGGCTATGGTGCTGTATACTGAGAGGCTATGGGGCTGTATACTGAGAGGCTATGGTGCTGTATACCGAGAGGCTATGGTGCTGTATACTGAGAGGCTATGGGGCTGTATACTGAGAGGCTATGGGGCTGTATACTGAGAGGCTATGGGGCTGTATACTGAGAGGCTATGGTGCTGTATACTGAGCCACCACAACAGCCATCGTGAGCCATTGTGAGAATTTACACTCGGTGTCCAGTCACCTGGAAATGAGTTGATCATGTTTTGCACAACAGAATTTATTGCCCATATCCACACACACACATTCTCATGTAACTAAGCTTTAGTCCATATAGTGGAACGATGCTTTTATCAGGACAATAGCAATGTCCTCTACACGACTGTGCTTAACCTGTGCTGGGCTGCATTTGGTACAAATTCCAGAGCTTAGGTTGTGTCCTTAGCTAACATTTAAAGCGTTTTTCAAACATATGTAAATTGCATTTTGCAGTTTGCTTTGACATAACGGATTATTTTTTTCAGGCCGGCAGACAGGACTCCTATGCCCTGGAAATAAGCCCTGTGCCCGCAATGCTAAGGAAGTCAATTTCCTGAAGGTCAACTGTGAGGAATTTCTTAATTCTCACTTCAAGTACCAGCACCTCAGCCCTCCGTCCCCCGAGACTGACTACATCCCTATCAGGGTGGAGCTACGGGACCACAGCTCAAGGGCTCTTTTGGAGGTGGGGGGGGGGGGGGTCTCAAAGAGGCTCTGTGTCCTGCAGGGCAGAGAGAGGACGCACTGATCACTATCATCCAAAAGCGGGGGGGGGGGGGCAACAGATCACTGCTGCACACATGTGAAAACCATCTATAACCTCTTACCATGCACAGGCTGTGCGAAATCCAAGAAAAGCAAAAAACATAAAAATCGTTAAAAAAAAAAGCGTTACATAATAGATGGATAGATCATAGTACAGATTGGTCCATTGTGACTAAGTGGTGACCAAGTCATAAGTCATAACATAGTTATTAATGTTAATAATAATACTATTCCATTGTGGTCTGTGTCTCTGCGAACTAGGCTGAGAGTGTTTGGATCCCAGTCCTGATCCGGGGTGCCTTACAAAACCAGCCTCCCCATGCCGCGTTCATGTCTATGTTCATCCTGGAGGTGGACCAGTTCATCCTCACCCCCATGACCACGGCCGCGCTCGACGCCAAGGACGATGAGACTCCACAAGCACAGCTTGTTTTCAATGTCACCAAACCCCCATCTGAGGGATACATCACGCACTTAGAAGACCACACCAAACCAATCACCTCCTTCACCTGGCAGGATCTCCACGAGATGAAGATCGCCTACCAGCCCCCCAACTGCAGTCACACTGGCAGAAGGAACTATGAGGTATTCTATTCGAAAGTACACGAGTTGTGAAATGTGGACATTCAGTGATGGTTCTCATGGTCAAAACTTTGTGAGGCTTGAAGGTTCTACAATAGACTAATCAAGGAACCACAGAAAACTATCTCTAAAGGGTGTCTGCCTACTTCATCATTTCTTTAGTCCAAGAATTCAAAAAATAATAGCCCCTTCTTATGATTCTCATGCAGTGATACCTTTCCATTCTCTTCAGGTAGAATTCCAAGCCATCGACAGTACATTTGTCCCTAGTCCTGCCATCATGGTTCACTTCTCAGTACGGACGGCAGAGACAAATGCCCCTCGTGTCTCCTGGAATATGGGTACATTAATATGTTGCAGTATAAGTGTTTTCATCTGGCAGCATTTTCCTGCTTGTCACAGTCTTTATGTACCCTGCATGTACTGTTTCGGCTATTCTGAGAGGCTCAAAGGCAGCACAGTTCATTTCTCATAGACTATCATTATATGCTGCTCTGTTTTTCAGGCATGGATCTGCTGGAGGGTCAATCCAGACCAATCACCTGGGAGAATTTGCAAATTGTGGACAGTGACAACATTGGGGCGGTGTACCTGGTGGCTGTGGAAGGCCCTTTACATGGACAACTGAGTGTTCGAGGTGAGCGCCGGTAAAGGGCTGCAGGGCAGTTTACCAGGCAGGTACCCACTAGCCAGCAGAGCTACGACAGGGCAGAACGCTTCTGCCAATTTCTATGTTTCATTGAACACTCTGGCAGTTGACTTCAGTAAAGGGCCATTATCACATTGACAAAATAGGTTTCATGCTAAGGTTGCGGATACAGAGAAAGAACATTAGAATCAACATAAATACAGGAAGAATTTGGTTACAAAAAAGTGGCCTCCGGATGACCTTGTTGGGATGGCAGGATCACGGCTTCATCTGGGAGTGCACCATGTCTTGGGAAACACATGCGGAGTGGCATGCACATGTTTGCTAATCGGGTGTAAAACACACTGTTGGCACTCTGCTGGAGGGCCCCGTCTGCGAGGATGTCATCTGAGAGGCAACGTATGTCCTTCTGTTTCGCCGCTCGACAAAGCGGCCCGTTAGCGCAGCGCATTGCGTAGGCCTGAGCCGTTTCCCAGCGCTACGCCAACCCAGCCAGATGTGCGATATGTTTTTTTTATGTTGCAGTCAGCAGGGAGCTAAGCACTGTTTAGTCTATCGTTGATTCTTTGGACGAAGTCATTAATACTCTTTGAGGCAATTTCTTCACGTTTACACAACGATTTTCAATGAGGAGTATAATTTCCTCTTCCTGTCTTATGAGTGCGGTGCCATTTTAAATGAAAACCTGCTAATTAAATGAGAAAAAATAGACCCAACTCTGCAATATGGAGTGATTGCTGTTGCTTGTGATCGTAGCTCCCATGCTGATATCTCCTAGACCAATTCCTTCTCACAAATGAATAACAACAGCTTCTTCTAAATGCACACTGCACCATTCCCGTAGTTGTTGTTTATGTCTCTGCAAAAGCACATGGATTTCTGACTTTTCTGGGCAGCAAAACTCATTTCCGAATGTCTGGCTGACCCGCTTGCTTTTAGACACCTGTTTGCTCTGTAGCCTTGATCAATTCACTTTCTAATGCCTGCTGCTCAAAAACCACATGGTGTCTCTGGAGGACTTCTGAGAGGGACTGGGAATCGCTCACCGCAGACCTCTGGAACTCTTACACTAGGGAGAGTCAGCATAGGTTTGATCCGACGCCTTCAGCCAAATGGAAACCAGCCTGTACCTCCACTCTGTGTCCTCCATCTTTGGTACCTGTATTAAGTGGCTTTATATTTTTGGGCCTGATGCCCACAGCCACCTTTGGGCCCAATTACCAAGTGTTTTTTTCTCTGTTGGACTTACGGCCATTTCCCTTGGTAAAATTGCTAATTAGGTTTATAGTGAGACTATCCATCACTCAATCTGTCTGGCGACCTTGTCCTTCTGTCTCTCTGGCAAGCAGGAGCGGTCCAGCCTCGCTTTGGGCTGCGACTCCCCTGCCTGGGAAGAAGGCCATCTTTCTTTCTGTTTTTATCGAAGGGGGACAGAACGAGTGACAGCCAACTCGGGGGCTTTTAGAACAGAAATTGCTGTTTTTCAAGTTTTGTATCCTCCACAATATGTCTAAAAGTTGACCAATGAGTCACTAATTTAAAATATCTCTTTTTTAATGCGGATATCAACTTTCCGTGTCTGTTTCAAAGAAACTTGTGAATAGCACTTATATTATTTGTACATGAGTTATTGATTATATGCATCACTTTTTTGCATTTTGCATGGTTTTTTACTGATCCACAAATCCAGAGGAATCCCTGATTGACCAAAGGTCTTTCGATCTCCACCTGTTAGGTGGGAAAGGCTTTATGTTCAAGGTGCATGACCTGCACGAGGGCGTGGTTGTGTACCATCACTCGGACAGCGACACCACCCGCGACCACATCGTGTTCCGCATCACCGATGGCCAGCACAGCATCCGGCACCGATTCCCCATCAACATCCTCCCCAAAGACGACACGCCCCCGATCCTGATCAACAACATGGCTCTCGAGGTGCCCGAGGGGGGCTCGCTCCTGCTGGAGGAGTACATGCTGTTGGCTTCAGATCTGGACTCCAGTGATGACTACATCCTGTACCAGATACTAACAGCCCCGCGGGCAGGCGAGGTCATCAGGAGGTCATCTCCCCAGCTCCCAGGTAGAGTGCAGCGTGACTCGTCTGTTCTTCTGCAAAACCTGCTGCATGTAATGTAGAAGACATGCCAAAGTATGAGAGCTTATGGCTACGGAGTAAGCTCATTTTCTGCATCAGTTAATCAGTTATAAAGGCAATATGTTATGTTTGGTTAATGGGCCGCACTGCGGCTCAGTGGGTGACGCTATTGCTTCATCACTTCATAGATGGGGGTTTGAATCCCATCTCCGCTGTGTTTGTGGAGTTTGCAGGCTCTTTCCTTGTTGTATGGGTTTCTCCTGTTTCCTCTTGCAGTCTAAAGACATTCATTTATGGAGCTGGGGTCTCAAACTCCAGTCCTGGGGGGCCGGAGCCCTACACAGTTTTTGGTTCACCCTCATTTAGCACACTTGATTTAACTCCTTGTGCTAATTACCACACAACTCTTGAGCTGAATCATTCGTGGTGGAACAGGGAAAGAACTAAGCTACACAGGGCTCCGGCCCCCCAGGACTGGGGTTTGAGACCCCTGATTTAGGGTAACTGGCGTTTCTAAATTGTCCGCGTCATACTTATGAACGGACCTCTATAAAGCCCATTATATTAAAATTTTAAGTCAAACATAATGGTTTATAATGACGAATGTATGCAGTAATCTATGACAATATTATGCAGCTTCAGCAGTTCGTCCATTCAAGGTACAATAAAATACTGTGTCTGGTTACTTTTATTATTACTGTATTATTATTATATACTGTATTCTTGTGTTTAAAATGTTTTGAAGTATTTCTTAAGTATTTCATATGCATTGAAAGGTAAAATGTATACTATCTACTAAGACAAAGATTTGACTAACTGAGGCTAAATAAGAACCGTATGTACCTGTTCTGACATAATTTGACTTATAGACAGACATAGGGTACGTGTCTCAATGGCAGCCTGGGGACTGCCTGTATGTAACCATGGAGTAACCCTCTGTCTGGAGTAGGCTGTAGGCCCCTCGTGACCTGGGATAAGTGGTTATAAGGTGGTTGGATATTTCGCTTAAAAATGCAAACTTCCTGTTAAAAATACTCAGCAGTTCAGGCGGTATTTGGAGGGGAAGCAGAGTGGATTGTATGGATGTTACCGGTGATGCTATCGCTCAGGAGTGCTGGTGACTAGCTTCCTGCAGAGGGACCTTCTCCTTGGCCTGATCTACTACAGACACCTAGGAGACGAGGTCTTTGAAGACTCCTTTGACTTCATCCTCTCCGACAGCCACCAGCCACCAAACTTATCCCAAAGACATGTGAGTGTCCCCCAACCTGGACACACCTGTTTTATTCTGCCCTGAATGAAAAGGAGAGTTACTTTCATTCTTAAAAGTAATTAAACATGCTTTAACAGTGGAGTATGAAATACTGTCCCCTGGTTAAGAACATCCGACTTACAGACAACTCATATGTTCAAACATACTGCCATAAACTCTATTACATAAAAAATTCAGGCTAAATACAATGATTCGTAATAAGGAATGCACAAACTACTTTGTGACACTTGTGAAAACATTGCGTGGCTTCAGCAGTTCGTCGGCTTGAGGCGCAGTACAGTATAGTACAGTATGCAGTTACTTTTATTATTTCTGCATAATAATTATTATTGTATTGTATTATTATTTATCTGACTTACCTACAAATTCGACTCAAAGACGGGCTTAAGGAATGCATCTCATCGGTAACCCGGGCACTGCCTGTGTACTTTTAAGAACCTGCTTCTTCATCAAGATTTTTTGCCGTCTTGCCGCCTGCCAGACGGTGGTGGTTCACGTCTCTCCAGTGAAGGACCAGCTGCCGCACGAGGTTCCCGGCGTCGTTCGCTCGGTCACGGTCAAGGAGACCGAGGTCATCCACCTCACTCAGAGCCACCTGCACTTCAGAGACCCAGAATCCCCCGACACAGACCTGATCTACTCCATCACCCGGCCCTGCTTCAGCCCCACAGCTGCCTGGTAAATGGCTTAGTGCAGTGTAGGCCAAAGCATGCGGAGACCTGGCCGTGTGGGGCTTTGAGTTATGGCCAGACAGTGACTCACAGAACTGAACAGCTTCATCTTCTTGGACATTTGAGTTGCATGTCTGAAAATCAGACACATATTAGTATTATTACTATTCCATCCATGTATCTGTAAGCCCCTTGTCCTGTTGGGACTTGCAGGTAGTATTAGTATACTTACGTACATTTTTATGAATGCTATCTGGAGTATTAACGCTTCACATGCAGGGTTTATAAGCTGCGTGCTGTCTTTGGACAGGTTAGCAGATGCTGGCAGGCTTTTCTATGCTGACAGTGCACTCTCCATGAAGAAGGACCCTGCTCTTCCAGTACTGAAGACTTTCACTCAGGTACCCAAAGCTGATACAGCAAATGCAGTTAGTACAGTAATTTGTGCCTAGACTGCTTGTTTCTGCTCAGTGTAATGCTCAAGCTTGTCGTCTCAGCACTCCATACCAAAACACATTTGATATTTTGATAGAAACGATGTCCTTTACGCTTCTATTTTTTCCTTAGTAAATGATTACAAGTGTTAGGCATTTCAGGTCCAGAAGCTACAAATCCAGATTGTGTTTCTACCAACCAATTGAGTGATAAAGAGTCACAATCACAGAGACTCAGCTGGTTGATAGAAACATAATCTTGGTCTGGATTTGTAGCTTCTGGACCTGAAATGCCCAACACTGGTAATCACATGTGTAATAGTTAATTAACTTGTGCATTGCCTGTGCATTTGGCTTCCCAGTTATTCTTCAATCTATTCAATAAGCCAGTCAAATGTTCCAGACTTGGCTCAGTAGCTCAGTCACATTGCACCCTTGCCTGTACTCCAGGCCACCAGGGGGCACTCACACCAGCTCCCTCTGTTACTCAGTGACAGGTTCACCTCAACTGCACCAGAGTATGCAGTGCAATGCAGCCCATATTACAGTGTGAATGACCTCAAAGCCCCAGCACCACCTGCATGGTTTTACATCAATACTTGTTCTGTTGCTCAAGCTGTTTGCACTGACCCCACCCCTCCTCCCCCCATTTTGACTCTGTTGGTTTCCTATGGGTTAGGCTGGGTCTCCTTCATACACTGGGGTGAATTAAAGCTGCATTCAGTGTGTGTCAGTGTGTGTCCTGTGAGGGACTCTGTGCAGGATGCATCCGGCTTTAACCGCCAGAAAGTTTCCACATCCCTTGGAGCCTCAGTGGAGCTCTCCGAAGATGGATGCATGTTTCCTGTCCATACGACGACTTGCCAAACACTTTAAAGCAATTCCCAAATGTCAGAAACTGTACTTCTTTGGGGCTAAATTTCCAAGTGCCCTTCCTGTGAGTAGATTAAAATAAATATGAAAGCAGAACCCTTTGAGTTGTGGTTTTCAAGGAGGGTAATACTTGTAGTAAAAGTGGCCGGTAAGTAAACCTCAGAAACCTGAGGTGCCACTTGTGCTGTCATGGGCACCACTCTGTTTACTAGACCGTATCTTACTGTTTCTGCTAAAGGAAAAGTGTGGGTTTCATCTCTGGCCTCTGGAGACATTAAGTGCTATGGCGCCTCTGAATTGCCCATAGTTTATTATTTTTTGTGCCCCCTGCAGACTGCCCCCTTTGCTGCCCTCTGTGCTGCCTCCTTTGCCCCCCTGTCACCCTTCACTGGGTAGGCAGTTGGAAGGTTGCGGTTCGGCATCGCCCTCTGCTGTGCTATGAAAGGCTTTCAACCTGTCTCCTCAGCATGCAGTGAACCACCTGAAGGTGGGGTACATGCCTCCACTTGAAGACATTGGACCAGAGCCCATCTTTGTGCAGTTTGTTTTCTCTGTGAGTGACCAGCAGGGCGGCGCACTCAGCGGCCTTGTCTTCAATATCACAGTTACGCCAGTGGACAATCAGCCTCCTGAGGTATGTATGTGTGACTTTGTTTGTTTAATCTGTTCCAAAAAGGCACTCTGGCATGTGGGCAAATCTTTAAATAAAATTTAATGTCATTCTGCGTCAATGACACCTCATAGACACTTCTGTTGGAAACAACACTATATTTGCACCAGATACTGTGAAATGAGGATCAGATCCTCACGTGAAAAGATGTGAGAAGGGCAGGTGTTGCGTGAATTTATATCGTCAAAGTTTGTCAATACATATGTCAAAATCCTGCTGCTAGTCTTGAAGTGTCATTAAACAGTCGAGCAAAAGAACTGAAACATGGGTTGGAAGAGATATGGCCAGGATGGGGTCACAGAGGGGGAAACAAGCACAAAGAGTCATTTCCAGAAGAGGACATGGAGGAGGAAGAGGCGGAGTGAATCAAAAGGAGCTGCCCTGGTCACTTAACTCCCCCAAATGAGACGGCGAGCGCCCCCCCTCCCCCCCACCCCCGTGAGGGTCGCTGAAGGTGCTCTCTGTCACTGTCACTCTCAGATATTTGTCAACCTCCTACGACTCGAGGAGGGAGGAGGCGTGTTTCTAACAGAGGAGCACATCCTGGTGCGGGACGCGGACAGCCGGGGGGATCAGCTCTTGGTGCGGCTGCGGACGGCACCTGAGCACGGAAGGGTTGAGCTGCAGGGGGTACCGCTGACGGAGGGGTACAGCTTCACCATACAGGACCTGCGGATGCTCCGGGTCAGGTGTGGCGGGCGTCCCCACACATAGACACACAGAGATGCACAGCTAAGGCTGTGTATGAAGAAGACGGACGGGTAAAGGTACACACAGGGCTTCACACTGGAGCTCCTCTTGCTGCAGATACATCCATGACGACAGCGAGACCCTGGAAGATGCCATAGGCTTCACGGCGACAGATGGCACCAACTCCGCTGACGGCCGGCTGCCCGTGCAGGTAACACCTTGGCGACTGGGCACACGCCAGTGGCCCTCGACCTCTCCTCACGCCCGGGTCGCTCACCCACGTCAACGTGGGCCTGATGGGAAGCTTAAGAGGTCAAGTTGGCTGCTTCTGGTGGCTCTACTGGCCACGCTGTGAAACTGGGCAGGGGATTAAATACCGGTGCCAGTCTGGATGCCAGGAAGGCCTTCTCTATCATATATCAGGCAGAAATGGCATGCAGATGTCTCTATAACTTGATAAAGTTGTAAAACTGCATAATATCCATTATTTTTTACTTAAACATCTGCCATGTGATTAAGTACCATGCAAGGTATAGCTGAGGAACCGTAAGATCTGTTCTTTTCCTTCCTGTAAAGATCCTTCCCGTAAATGACCAGCCACCCCTGCTTGGCTTGGGGCTGCGTTCAGGGCTGACCTGCAAGGAGGGGGGGCGCGTGCAAATCACCGGCGAGAACCTTTTCGCCACGGACGCGGACAGCGACGACGCCCGTCTCTCCTACATGCTGGTGCGTGAGCCCGCCCTGGGGGAGATCCAGAGGGGCGGCGTCATGGTGGACAAGTTCACACAGCAGGATGTCATCCAGGAACTGATCTTCTATGTGCACACAGGTAATCGTTCACCTGAACTCTCCAGGTAAACACGCACACAGGTAAAGCAGGACATTCATCCAAGCTGGCCTGGTCCGGCCGTACCTCTCAAGGATTGTGCATTCCCACAGGAGGTGAGATCGGACCCCATCCTGTGTCCGACCCTGTCACCTTAATCGTGTCGGACGGAGAGGCTGGAGCTCCGGAGGGCTGTTGCCATGGAGATGCACCACCTGTCCCCCTGCACGGATTCCTTCCTGTATATGACCTTAACATCACCGTCCTTCCTGTCAACAACCAGGCCCCTGTCATAACGATTGGTAAAGCTCTGCACTGTGCGCCGTGCTACTGAGCGAGATGCGCGGAGTGTCTATAAGTCGGCCCTGGGGCTCGGGGATCTCCCTGCAGTCCGTGATACGCGAGCCGGCTCGGATGCCACAAGCCGATTCCTCTCACTTTAGCTCCATTGTGCTCAACTTCAGCTTTAAGGGTCAGTTTCTGTCCCGAACAACCTCCCAGTAACAAGCGAGCGACAACTAAAGCAGGTCATCGGATTTGCATATTGCCTCTGAAGAGGGTTCCAAAGTGACAGGTAGCAAGCCAGGGCTGAGGAGGAGCCCCTTATCAGCGAGTCGCATGCCCTGCGCTGGGGGTGTCTGCGCATCTCACATTGTGTTTCTGCGCTGGGGTGTTTGACACGCCGGGGAGGGAGCGGGAGCTGGAACCAGCATGGAGAATTTCCTGTTAGACCTCAGCGGTTATCAATGGGGAACAGTGACCGTGTGGAGACAATGGTGGGGATGAGGCTGGGCTCCTGGCGGGCCCACGTTACCTGGCGGGAAATCCCGGCACGGGGGCAGGGGAGGCAGCAGCTGGTCAGGATTAGCGGCCGTGAGAGCGGCATGGCGAGGCAAGGCAGTGTTGGTGCCAAGATCCATTCCTTTATTATGATGGGAACGGCGACGTGGTCATTTGGAAATCGCACACGGTCCAGCCAATGTGGAGGCGCTTTGCGCGCAAATGTAATTGTTTAATTAGTTAGCGCTGAATAAAGATGCGCCGGACTGCCGGTCTGTCACTGCCACTCTCCCCGCGCCGCCTGCGTGCTTTATCATCTCTATCCCAGGCCCCCGGTCATTAATTTCTCCCCTTGTTGCTGAGTTTGATCCGTCCGCAGCCCCATTGGTGGCCGCTCTCCATTCATTATTTATCTGCGCAGTAAATGGGAGCAGATGCCAGCGAGGGCCAGCGATGATGGCTTCATCGAGGCCCAGGTGGCACAGGCCTGGCTGGGCGCCGAGCCGGACGGAAACCAGGGGGGTGGGGGGAGATGGATGAGGACAAGGCCAGACTGAGCGGTTTTTGGGACCATCGCTCCATGGGGGGGTCTATCCCTCACTATCATTTTCTGACTTTCCTTAGCACTCCTTTCTTTGAGAATTAAAAATCAGCTCATTACTGACATTGCGATGCCCTGATTTTTCAAAAGCTCACACCGAAATGGCATCTCATGTGTATGTTTCGAAATTCCCGTGATCTTGGCACGCAGTATAAATTAAAGTAAGCGAGTGTGCCAAGTATGGTTTAGTGTGTTTGTTTTTTTTTTTTGGCACAAATCAGAGTGTTTTTGCTGTGCTTGTTTGCCTCTTTTTCACCAGGGCACATGTTTATGGTTGACGAGGGGTCCGTCGCCTGCCTCTGTGGTGGCTTCCTGGGAGCCACCGACGCTGATTCCCCCCAGGACCAGCTCCTGTTTTCCCTGGATCTCCCCCCAGAACACGGCTTCATAGAAAACACCCTGCCCTCGCCCGGATTCGAGAAGAGCAACGCCGGGCTCGGAGTGGGTGAGTCCCCCCGATCTCCCAGTGAGTTCTGCCAGGAGAGCTTTGCAGAGAGCTGACTCTTGGTGCCTGGGGTCAGTCTCTTTCAGCTTTCCGCACCTCAGCGCCGGGTACATTAACTACGTCCAGGCTCGGCACCGGGGGGTGGAGGCCACGGTGGACCGCTTTGTGGTCAGAGTCAGCGACGGGGTGCAGAAGTCAGCCCCCGTCCCCTTCTACGTCATCATCAACCCCACGAATGACGAGGAGCCGTCCCTGTTGCTCGGCAACTTTTCTGTGAGCCTCTTCCTCATCCTCCTCGTCCTCATCCTCCTCTTCCTCATCAGCTGTATCTCAGCTCGATCTGGCCCATGGCCTCCACCTTTCTGGGTCCTGTCTTCCCTCAGGTGGCAGAGGGAGGGATGAAGGATCTGGGCCCGGACCTTTTGGATGCGGTGGACCTGGACGTACCTGCAGACACCCTAACCTTCTCGGTCCTAGTGCCCCCAGCCCACGGGATGCTGCTGAACGGCATCTATGGCCTGCAGATGAGCCGCTACCTGGAGATGGAGCAGGGCCTCCTCCAGCGTACCCTGCTCGTGAAGTCCTTCACTATTCAGCAGCTTCGGCAAGGTCAGGAGATTCTGCCCTGAGACACAGATATCACATTATCCACATTCAGAGCTCATCCTTTCATCTGTAGCTTTTAACCTTTTAACCATGAAGTGCTTTTTTACATTTGGACATCCTCTGCTTCTTGTAACCTGTTACAGTATATTTTGTATTTTAGCCAAATAAGCTTCGCTTTGCCAGTGGGATTATTTCACTGAAATCGTACAGGTTAACTGCCCTACTCAGGGTATAATGGAGCAGCCCAATCGCAGCTACGTCCTTAAACACCCCCTGCTGTCCTGGTTTCTTTGCTCTGTTTTGATGCTGATTACTGTCTGCATCCTAAGCTCAGCCGTCCTTCTGTGCTGGCCACCAGGCTCGTGTTGGCGTCCCCCCCCCCCGGAGCAGATGTTGTAGATGGGCGTCACAGAGAACCCACGGCGCATTCGGCGCTTAGGAAGGGCCTTTCCAACTGTGCCCCGCGCCTCACGGTCGTAGCATGCTGGGAGTCTGGCGGCCAAGCGGCGTCCTCATTATCGAACGCGACAAGAGGGCGGAAACACACGAGAGCCAGCCACCAGGGCGGCGCCGGCACCAGACACCCACTCGGCTGCTTTCCCTATCATTTGCCACTCTTCCTCGTCTCCGAGAGGAAGGGGGCCAGTTGGGAAACTGGGGTGAGGTGGGGGGAAAAGGCATCCGACGTTCGGGCAGAGGCTTGTAAAAACACAGGCCAGCACAGAGCTTTGACTGTGCAGCTGGCTCATGTCGCCCCTCACCCTGAACCCCCCCCCCCCCCAGGAATGAAGATCATATACATGCACGATGACACAGAAACCTTCAAGGACGCTTTCAGCATGCAGCTGACAGATGGCATACGCGCAGTCCAGGGGACGGCACACGTCCGCGTCCTACCAGTCAATGATGAAAAGCCATGGCTGCGGAGGTAAGGACACCCTGGCACGGATTCCAAACCGTCGGATAGAGGCGGGTGGAAGTGGGCTGAGGGGGCTGCAATGCCAGAGGGACGGAGGAGAGGACAACAAACATGACCTACGCTGTCCGTGGGCCGAGGGCTCCGGGGCAGACTGGGAATTTCGCTTTCATCCTGCGGTACAGCGGCGTGTGATTCTGTGATGTTTGCCAGGGGGAGGCGTAGAGAGCACACCTGACTTAGTGTGTCTCTGTGTTTATATGGGAGCCGGTGACAGGCCGGCCCCACCCCGGTTCTGAATCAGGCTGGGAGTCCCAAACCCACTAGGGTTCCCCCGATGCCCCCCCCCCCCTGTCTGCTCAGAAATACTGGTCTGGAGCTGGTGGCTGCGGACAGGAGAGTCATCTCCAGTGTGCTGTTAGAGGTGGAAGATGCAGACACCCCAGCCCATGAGCTCCTCTACGTCCTCAGCGCCGGCCCCCGGTTCGGGCAGCTGCAGCTGAAGGTCAGCCAGAGTGCCTCAAACACCACCTCAGCTCTGACAGTCACTTAGCACACAGAGTCATGCCACTGAATTGGGCTCTTGATCTCAAGATGACTGGAAAAGAGTGTGGACTTCTGAAGAGAAAATTCTTAAGTAGGTGTCATTTCTGTGGAGTTATCGAAATTAAACATTTGAACTCCTTTGTTAGATTACATGATGACTGTGAGTTTTGGTCCCCAGTACTGCAACATATGATGAGGAAACCTGGCTTTTGTTCATTGGTGGCGTCACCTTGAAAACGATTAAAATAGACTCAGGGAGTTTTGGAAATTTGCTCTTGGAATAATGAAATCAATGTGTATTCATGGTCTCCTTTTGTTCAGTAAGAGGATTCTGGTCGCTCTGGAATTCGAGCACCAAACGACGTTCCTGATAGATTCGTGTTTGTCCAGGTCGGGGCAGGCTGGACTGATCTGAGGTCAGGTCAGAACTTCACCCAGGAGGACGTGGAGATGAACCGCCTGTGGTACCAGCAGACTGCCACGCAGGGGCTCAGAGGACACGACGGCTTCCGCTTCCACCTAAGCGACGGAGACCACATGTCGGCACCGCATAGCTTTGTGATCTCGCTGCAGGCCATGGCCAGAGGTGAGGGTGGCCGGGGGGCGGGGGGGCATATCCTATCTGCTCTCTGGCTCACAATCCTGCAAAATTTCCCCACCCCAGAGGTACAGAAGAACTGGAATCTCAGTCAGAGGAAGCTGCAGCACTGTCTGCTTTAGGGAACAGTCTGAACAGGCAGATGCAGACTAGCTTCAGGAATGAAGCTTCAATTAAGCTTCAGCTGACCTTCCCTTATTATATTCACTTCCATCCATCCATCCATCCATCTGTCCATCCATCCATCCATCCATCCATCTGTCCTTACCATATTTCTTCTTCCTTTAAGATTATTTGTTCTATGCCTTCCTTTTTATTTCTGGGATTCCCGACATGGTTAAGGGGACCTCACCCTCGTCACCAGGCCGGTGACCCTAACGGAAGGTGAGAGGGCTGTCCTGACGACAGACGTCCTGATGGCGGCCGACGGCGTGGACAGAGCGGAGGAGCTGGTGTATGTGGTGTTAGTGCCTCCGGAGCACGGGCAGCTGCACACGGTCCAAAACCCGGGAGTCCCCCTCGACACCTTCACCCAGCTGGACGTGGCTGCCCTGCGGGTCTGCTACACCCACGACAACAGCCGCATGGCCTCACAGGATGCGTTCAGGTTCTTATCACCATGGACACCGGACCCTGCCCAAAACGCTTTCTGTACCGAGCTGAAAAATATAATGAAGGCAAAAACAAGGTTTAGGATGGTCTAGTCTGATACTAAATGTTGTACACTATCAATTTTCTATATATATATTCATATATATATATATATTTTTTTTTTTTTTTCATTTTGACAAATCAGACAAATCATATTCATATAATTTATTTATTTCATCTATATGTCCCTATTTAAAATGTGTACTTGACTTTAATGAGACAATTCTTGCAATGTTCACTAGTTTCAATTCTAGAAAGTTTTCTAGCATTAGTTTTATAGTTTGGAATCAGTGCAGAAATGACTCTGACCAGCAGAGGGCAGCAGGGGGGCACGCAGAGGCAGCCTTTCCTCCATGTTCGTTTCCTGCCAGTTTGGCAGCAGAGCCGCATGGCTGACCTGTCTGTCTCGGGCCTCTCCTGCAGCTGTGGCCATGTTTGTCACCCAGAAGTCCAGACTGAGCGTCACCCAAGGGTTGACGTTTTTCAGCCAAGCTGGGCTCACAATGGGGGGGTCAGGGGGAAGGAAGGGGGGTTAGCTGGAGAGTGCACTTACCTCAGATTTGTGCCAGGGTGCACAGCTGACATAAGGTTCGCAGAGTGCAGCCAAAGCCCTGGCCCAGTGTGACCGCGGTAACTGACAGTGTGAACATGGATGGCCTCCTGAGCACCCCCCCCCTGAGCCCCCCCGCCCCCCCCCCCACCAGTCAGGACACACACTGCCACCGAATCCATGTGCATGATGTGTCAGTAAAGCCTGCTGAACTGTCATGTCAATCTGGCCACTGTGGTCAAGGCCATGCTGGGCCATACCGGGCCATGCCATGCTGGGCCATACTGGGCCATTCCATACTGGACCATGCCAGGCCAGGAACAGCGGCTTTCGAGGTTCTGTCTTTTTTCCTCCACGCACCGCCATGATATATGGGCATTCTTATGAGAATAATGACACCTTGTTGGTTGCCGGGGCAGTGTGGATGTGGGTAGTGCCGGCGGGTGCCCGTGCCATGCCAGGTCAGGTGACAGCTGCCACCAGCAGCAGCTCTGCAGATACTCGGCGCTGGTCTTCGGTATTGTCACCCCGGCTTGTGTTGTCACCTCGTGGGTGACAGGGACAGCCGGACTCACGGTGAGACTCCGAAATACTGCTGACGTAGAGATACAATGAGTCTATTCTTACCCAGTGCTAATTTATAGACCCTGTTTCGGTGTCCTCTTTTCTCTGGTGCAACATTTCTTTCTCAAGGTCTTCATTAGTTCTTCTCAGCTGATTTAGTATTTTGAAAGAATGTCAGGAATGTGGCTGTATGTTCCCTAACCCTAACCCTAACCCTAACCCTAACCCTAATATCAGACCTGATGCCCCATACAGCTTTGTTATCAGCAATGGAGTGGCATCCAAAAATGGGACTTTACTCTTCCTCATCCGACATGGCGACCGCATCCCACCTACGCTGACCAACAATAAAGGCCTCCGGCTGACAGAGGGCGCTGTGGTGCCAATCTCCCCAGATGCCCTAGAGCTGACCGACCCTGACACGGCAGCAGAGAACCTGACCTACACTCTGACCCAGCAGCCCCAACATGGGAAGTTGCTCCTAAGAGGACACCCCCTTTCCCAGCCAAGGTTTACCCAGGCTGACATTAACAACTGGGACCTGACCTACCAGCATCAGAGCGGCCCAGCCCAGGCAGACAAGTTCTCCTTCCTGCCCTCCGATGGCACCAACACAGGCTTCCTTCAGTATGGCCAGCTGACTGAGGAGGCCGTTACCTTCACCATTCAGGTAGGCTTCTGTTCACTTTCACATGGAGCCAGTCCCAGTATCATCTCAACCATGGAACTTTAGCTAGTTCCAGTGAAAATGTAGAAGTCTTCTTAGGCACTTTAAGATCATCCCAAAATGTACACTAAAGATTTCCAGTTTTAGAGGTCGCAGAACTTTATTCATCTGTTGCTCCAGTTACTTATTTAATCGTCCAATGAGTGATATTTATTATTTATTATTATATATTTATAACATTCTTTGATTGTTTATAAACATTACCGCCAATATTTGTGTAGTAATTTTTAAAGCGTAGTGCCACAAATAAATGCTAGGTGTTTCCACAATTTTGGCCACTACTGTGTATATGACTTCCAACTATTTTAATTGATTGAAGATATCTGGTCGCTCTGCAATTCTTCAGGTGATATTGGATCATGGACAGTTTTTTCTAGTATAATAACCTAAGTTGCATATTTAACAATGTAACAGCTCATAAATGCATCTTGAAGTCATAACCCATAATGGTAATGAAGGCAGATTAATACATTAAATTACAGAATGTAAATCACAATGTTTATAGTGCTTCAGTGTTAATGAGACTAATTTAACTGTCAGCTAATATTGTCTAAGCAGAAGTTCACTTCGTTTCCATAAGGTTGCAACCAATTCATTTTGCTTGTATTGTCACAAAAGGACAAGAATTTTTTATTAAAATTTGTTTAAAATTAGGAACGCAATTATAAATCCAGCAGTACCCGCATATTCATTTTGAGATTGTGTTTGCACTTCTGGCTCCTAAAACGATATTTACGGCACATTTTACATAATTCTGCAATGAAATAAATATACAAATAAATTTTGTGACAATATTTTTTAAATAATAACAGGCTTGTAATTATTGTACAGAAGGCTTAGGATATCATGAAAGACTAAGAAGAAATAAAATTTTACTGAATACATAAGTAACTTATACTTAAAAAGTTTATGAAGGCTGTATGTGTCAGTTATGCATGTCTTTACATTACAAGTCAACTAAAGCACCTACATATTTCATAATAAAATACGGATAAAACATCATCTTTGAATCCTGCACCTTAAACAGTAAAAAAACTAGTTTATTAAGTATAATTAAAAACAATATCAATGTAATCTTTCTGTTCTGTTTTCTGCTGTTGGAAGTTAAGTTGTTCTTTTTCAGTGATTAGTATAATGTAATATTAAAATTCAGATAATATTTTGATTAAATGATTCAAATATCCATTACATGTTTTAAAAACTCGCTTATTGGCTGATAAATTTAGCTTGAGGTATTCTGGGAATTTCTGTATAAGCATGAATGCAAGCATCCGAGCGCATCTGAGCGCATCAGATTAGAGGGCTTATGATGAAGGAAAAGGTCAAAGGAAATCAAGTTGTCAAATACCAAGGGGAGTAATGAGCAACTGCACTGTAAACGGTCCCAAAACGAGGGCGAAGGATTAAGGCATGACGCCCCCAGCATCGTCTGCGGTGTAATAATATCCTTAAGTGTATATATGCTTTGTCTTTTGTTTTGTTTTTATTAATGTTTTTTTATCTAATTATATACACACATATATATATATATATATATACACACACACACACACACACACATACTATATCTGATTATTTGACTTTATCACACTCATTTGCGTGATTTAGGGACGGATAGCACCATAGGGGAGTCTAGACTGTAAATCGGGAGTTAGGGGAGCTTCAGACATCCTGTTTTTACCCAATTTTTGTCTTATTTACCCTATTTTTGTACCTTGTTTTTTTTTTCTTATCCACTTAGCAATTTCTTATATATTTTTGTATACATTTTATGCAGATTGTATAGGGACCCACCCCCCCCCTCCAGGTTGTAGGAAGGGAGATAACTGCTATCCACTGGTAACCCAAGTCCTTATTGGACGAGCAGAAAACATTAAGACAGTGCAGGTGCGTCATGTCTGCTGCGTGACATGAGGAGCTCGGGGTTCGGGCAGAGTCCCCACTGCATGCTATGCGGTGACAGCAGGGCCTCTCGCGCAGGTGGCCCCTCCCCACGGCCCCCGACGTGCTTGAATATTCTGTCGACATGCCAGCGAAGCGGCTAACACGCTGGCCGCCGCCGTCGGCCCCTTAGAGGGCAGGAGCATCGCCCTGTCGTAGGAGGCCGACACGACCCGCGTCCTCGCTCACTTGGCGGAATTGGACCGGTGCTGCTTTGAGCCAAAGAGCGCGGTCTCCTTCGGCTTCATGCCCGCAGTCTATCGCCATGGAGACGCCTCCGCGCCTGGCTGCAGTCTCGGCGTGCCGAGTGTGTAACTACTAAGCACACTTAGACTGACTGACTTAGACAATCGGAACATTTAACATGTGTGTCCATGGATAGGTGACAGAAACACAAAAGTAAAATATATATAAATACGTATAAATATCTTATAGCATTTGATTATTTTAAAGCCAGGTCAATTGTATAATGTATTTACAGTTTTGCCTGTTCATTAAATTGTAACTACTGTAAATTCTAATAGTACAATTTAATTTTTATATTATGTGATGAAATCTTAGCAATGTGTGCCCAATTAAAAGCTGTGCAGCACATAAACATTATATTTGAAATATATGAGATGATAATTCACCCCAAGCTTGTCTGAGTGTCCTTCAGCAGGGATTGTTTGTGGTATGACATCCTGAGAGTGCCATCTAATGGTGATGTGGTGTCAAAGCACAGCTTCTCTGAAGAATGCCCATTCATCTTTAAAACCACTTATGCTGGACAGGGTCACAGTGAGCTTGGAGCCTATCCCAGGAAGCAGGGGGCACGAGGCAGGGGACGGTCCTGGATGGAATGCCAGGCCATTGCAGGGCTCATATTCACACACAACGTGGACAATTTAAAGTCGCCAATTCACATAACTGATGACTGTGGGAGAAAACAA